CTCATGCGGCTATAGAGCGTCTCCATGTCATCTATCGCCTTTTATTTGGGACTTTCTTCTTCAGAGCCCCAATAAAGCGATAAAATTCTCTCTGTCTCCGTATTATAATCATGCTACAAAAAGATATTCGTGCTTTATAGTAAATATAATAAAATTGCATTAAAATAATTTATTACATATCAAGGTTTATTGTACTGTAGACTTTGGGTAAATTGTGTCAGGAGAATCCACTGGAGCTTTGAGTAAGTGGAATATAGCCCATGACAGATGCGAGTTCATATTGAGAATAACAGCTCGATGATGATCCAGGCCTAAGCATATGCTTCTATATCATCCCAGATATCGACATATCATCAAACAAAATCTATGAGCCCCCATGAAAAAATTTCTCTGCATCTACGAACAATTCTAAAATGTTGATCTAATGCAAAGGTCTTAGCGTGACTCAACTACTTGTAGAAGCTCAAATACATTTCTTAGAAACCATATACAGGATTGTTGTACTCTGATTCGACATTCGCGAATGCTAAGGGAAAAAAAAGTAATTATTTACGTCAATACCAAAAACATTCGGTGAAGTTCTCTAATATTTAGCTAGCAAGAATGTGCTATCGAGACTCAATATCGGCCCGCAACAACTGTAACCCTTTGTAAATAGCCCAAATGCACAAAAAAGGCATTCAAAACGTGATGTCCTATCAGACTGAATCTAGTAAATTTATCCTGACATTGCATTATAGATAACTATCACCAATTTATGCAATGAGTTGTATGACTCCTTCCATCTACCAAATATAGACTTTATAGCCTTTTGTATCGCGTCCTTAGCCTTCATATAAGATATTCAACTGTTGAATTTTACTTCTATTTGAGCTATAATCCCTCGGGGCTTAAAGTCAAATTGATGTCTAACAATATAAAAATGAAGTTAGAAGTGCATTGTGGGTGTCCACCTGTTAGAATCATATGTGCACACTTGTGTGGTGGCCATTAATAATTTATATTTTCTACGCTCCTAAAAGTTTCTTGCTTTTTGCAACATGCAAACACCAATGACAATCTGGATGGATGATCATGGTGAAGATAGATAATACTTAGTCTAGCTTTCTTGGAATTTATTACTCTATACTAAATGTTGTTGATTATACACCAACAGTTGATTGCAAATTGTAAGTCTTAGTTATGAGAACCATACCTTCATATAACACATTTGGAATTTGTTCCTCAGTTGTTATATTTATGTCACATGTGGGAGCATCATAAGTGATATATTCATCTAACTCCTCGGTTAAACAATATATTCAAATATACTTATTAGTCAAAATCACAACATCTAACATTGTAGCATTATTTAGAATGTGTCATGATGAAGTTGTGACCCATAACTTCAGTTACTTCATCTATCTCCACTGGTGCTTCCACTCTAATGTCAGGATTATTATCTAAGTCATTGATTGTGGCATTATCCATTGTCTTATATCCATTCCTTTTATACAAATGTGAGTGTCATCCCATCCTCTAGCATCAAAATGTACACTCAGACGATGACTCAACTCATCACCCGACTGTCTAGCGGGACTGACAAGTTTATAATTTTTTTTTTTTTTGTGAATAACTAAAACAAGCAAAATAAAACATATATTTTATGAAAGGAGTGAATAGAATACCTATATGCTTGATAATTCATCAAATATGGCACTATAAACTCAATGTAGCCCCAGGTTGCATTTTGAGAAGAAGGGCCAACTGCAGTTGCAGGTGGCAACTGGATGTCGCTCTGTGTAACAACATTGTAACTCTTAATTTTTGTGTAAAGTGCCAAATTTTATTCCACGACCTCATGTAATACACACTTTGGCACATCGTCGTCCTCAATTGGGGTTGCAATAGACCCTTCACCCACATAAAACAAACATATCATGGATACATTATGTGTTAAATGATCACCCTCAAAATACGAATTATTCTACGACATAGTTGCATGAATGTTAATTGCGTCAAAACATGAAAATGTTGGGGATTACCTCCAACATAACTCGACTTAAAGTCATCAGACACGACGAATTCACCATCGATCCTAAAATAAAATGAAGGTTGAAAACTGTTGACTCATATTTTCTATTCAACTTAATTATATACAACTTAATCCACGGATTTGTTCCTTTGATAAACTATATCCTCAATTTATGATAGCCTTTTATCAAGCAAAAGATTAGAGTTGGAAATGGATATTATGATATTCTTTTATCTAATTAACAATATTATTCAAAACAGTCATTTAATGAGCTCATTTTAACTCTTAAATCAACTCATAAAGTAGTTTTAACATCATTAGACTAAATAGCAAGCACGATTGGGAAAGGAGATGTTATTTATTTGAATTCCTTAAAAGAAGAATTCTATTTAACGAGATGTTATTTATTTAAATTCCTTTAAACACAACTGCACAATGGGAAAAAAACATTAGACGTTTGGTTTATACGTTTGAAATATAACTGATTTGCAGTTATTTCTGGAGAAATGACTACTCTGTCACTGTGCAGTTGTGTTGTTTGCAACAGAATCATGACTTATAATTGATAGTTTAAAACAAAAAAAAATCACTTCATGACAGTACAAAAAAAATATCTCACTTAAGGTGAGTATTAAGGAACCTTAAAAAAAGGAAAAATATATTAAAATTACAATTAAAAATATGATAATATTCATTTTAAAATACAGAAGAAGCATATCACGAGCAATGTTATCTTGCAGGGATACCATCAAAACCCCGATCACTAAATATTCATCAATCGGCAGTGATACCATTGCGACCAAAAACTTCCATAAAAAATATAAAAAACATGACATTATAAATGTCCCAACCAGAAGTGAGCAAACTCACCAACAAACAATCCAATGGGAGGCGAGGGATGTTACTTAAGGCAAGAGCGTGATGATCAACCTACGACAAGAGCGGTCCATCGAGAGGTGAGGGAGAGAGGGAAGGGAGTGGCAAGGGAGAGAGGCGAGGGACGGTATTGCGATCGATCGACTTAGGGCAAGAGAGATCCATCGAGGGAGGAGACGGATAACAGATGGTCATGGGAGGAAATAACCCCTCGAACACAGATTCAAGATGCAGGCCGCAGGGTCAATTCCGTGGCCACATTTATTAAGGAAACGAAACAATGTTTCTCAATAAGCTTTCTGAACGCACAAATCAAAGGACACGGTGACGTTTTCAAAACACCGCCCATGCGACCCTCTAAGTTAAAATTTCTAACTAACATTTTCTAATTTTTATTTTTTTATTTTCATTTTCTAGTAAATTAACCACGAAAATCTTAAATATATTTTTTTTAATTTCAAGTTTTTGAAATTCATCTAAACTAAATTTTAATCCAAAGCAAAACTAAAAATTAAAAAAATTCAAACCTTAAATAAAATACTAAAAGTTGTACACAAAATAATACCCAAAAATAACCAAAAAAATATTACTTAAAAATTACAAAAATAAATACACAAAAAAAAAAAAAATCACCTCTATCAAGTAAAATCCAATGTCTCCTCAGATTCCTCAACTTTTTTGGTGATTTTATTCCTCATCCAGTTTCGATTTATAAGAGTTAGACATCCAAATATAATCCTTGTGAGAAATGGGGGGGTGGAAAAGAGCCGAACACGAGCGAGACCAAACCCAACTAGTGTTCGGCTCGTTTATATTTCGAGCTCAAAAAGTGTGTTCGTGTTCGGCTCGTTTGCACAGCGCAGGCCGCAGGGTCAATTCCGTGGCCACATTTATTAAGGAAACGAAACAATGTTTCTCAATAAGCTTTCTGAACGCACAAATCAAAGGACACGGTGACGTTTTCAAAACACCGCCCATGCGACCCTCTAAGTTAAAATTTCTAACTAACATTTTCTAATTTTTATTTTTTTATTTTCATTTTCTAGTAAATTAACCACGAAAATCTTAAATATATTTTTTTTAATTTCAAGTTTTTGAAATTCATCTAAACTAAATTTTAATCCAAAGCAAAACTAAAAATTAAAAAAATTCAAACCTTAAATAAAATACTAAAAGTTGTACACAAAATAATACCCAAAAATAACCAAAAAAATATTACTTAAAAATTACAAAAATAAATACACAAAAAAAAAAAAAATCACCTCTATCAAGTAAAATCCAATGTCTCCTCAGATTCCTCAACTTTTTTGGTGATTTTATTCCTCATCCAGTTTCGATTTATAAGAGTTAGACATCCAAATATAATCCTTGTGAGAAATGGGGGGGTGGAAAAGAGCCGAACACGAGCGAGACCAAACCCAACTAGTGTTCGGCTCGTTTATATTTCGAGCTCAAAAAGTGTGTTCGTGTTCGGCTCGTTTGCACAGCGCGAGCCGAACACGAGCCGTTCACGAACAAAGAGTCATTTTGACAACCCTAATCACATAGTCTAAGATGTTAAGGATTGGGGCAAGATTTAAACCATCATTTAAATCTAATTTAATAATTTTTATTCTATTTTCTTCATTAATACCTTTAATTGATTATAAATCTTTATAGTCATGTAGTCAATTAATTTTTTAAAAAATACTACTCATCAAAGTTATATATATATATATATATATATAATCGATTAGTAATATTTCGAGCCAGAAGGAGTTGAACACAAACGAACAAATATTTATTTGTGTTGCTTGTGTTCGGCTTGTTAACTTAGTGAACGAGCCGAACACGAGCTTCTTAACGAGCTGAACATGAGTTGTTCGTGAACAACGAGCCGTTTTGACATCCTTAGACAAAATAACTAATAAAGAAATTAAATTTTTTAGAAAGAAATTAAAGATAATATGTAAGACATGACCCAGCTTTAAATTATTCCACTGATATTAATCACAAGTTACAAATGATGTATTTTCTTTAAGAAAAAAAGTAATTAAAATAAAAAAAAAAACTAAAATCAAAACTTCATAACAAATAAATTTTTCATTATAATAAATCAATGCCATCAAAACAATGCTTGCAACTGTTCCCTTTCATCGCTCTCCGAACAAATAAAATGTTTGAAGCACACGACCACTTCTTCGTCAGAGGCAATAGAACAAACAGCTAGCGCGCAATTCATTTTATAAACAATTATACCTGTAAAAAATGCACGATGGGCGGGGGAGTAGCAGGGAGATCATGCACGGATTGGCTAGGGAAATGAGAAGGAGCCACCAATCTGTGAATTTGCGGAAGGAGGATCAATGGCGATCCACAGCAACGAAATGGTGATGGCTATAAGCCCAGACCACACATAAATAATGGTGGGCGTCCTTCCCCTTCTACCCGTCAATCCTTTCACGAACGGATACATATGAGCAAGCACCCAGAAGCTAAAGAAAACGCCGCCAAGCAGCCTGCTCCACTGCGGAATGGTAGCGTAAATTGTCCTGCTTATGCCCACAGCAATGGCGATGAGGTTAACGAAGATGATGGTAAGGGGCGGGATCATGAGGGAGGTCCATTTGACAATGTAGAGGTCAGCGAATTCGTCATCCTCATCGTCGCCGGCGGATTTAGAGGTGAGAGTGAAGGAGATCTCGATGCCGGCGATCACTTTAAGGAGGCCTTGGATGACGGCGGCGAGATGAGCAGAGGTGCCGCCGATGAGCCAGAACTGCTCGTTGCGCCACCACTCCTCGAGCTGAATACCGGACCATTTTACCTCTAGGACGGCGAGGAGAGCGAGGGTGATGGTGATGGTGAGGAGGTAGGCGAGGAAGGTGACGTTGAGGGTCTGGACGATGAATTGGCCGGAGAAGAGGGAGAGGGCGGGGAGGAAGCAGTAGACGATGAGGAAGATGGAGGTGAAGGGATAGATGCCGACGTTGAGGTAGGCAATGCGCTGCAGAAATTTCAATTTGGCGCCGGCGAACAGGGCGTTGTTGCGGGAGAAGAAGATTTCTACGGATCCTGTCGCCCAACGCAGCACCTGCCGAATGCAAAACGCACGTGTAATTGAACTGACTTTATATGCGATCACAATGAGCATTAATAAGTAGAGAAACATACCTGGTGCAGGCGATCGGTCAGATTAATGGGCGCCGTCCCCCGGAATGCGTCCCGCTTGGTAACACAGTAAATGGATCGCCACCCTCTGTTATGCATCCTGTATCCCGTCACCACATCCTCCGTCACCGATCCGTAAATCCACCCCACCCTGCTCCCCCACTCCGTCTTATCCTCATACCAACACGACACCAAGCTCACCGCCTCTGCCACCGTCGACGCATCCAAGGGTTCCCGCGGCGTTATCAACGCCCCCGGCGGCCTCCCATTCTTCACCGACTGATGATCGGCCAACGGCCGCCCTTTGAACTCCGCCACCGCGATCGAGTCGATCAGAAAGCTCGAGTTCCCGAACCTCCTCGGAAACGAATATAGGTTCATTCCATCATCGTCGTCCATCCGCAGCGCGTGCGTCTCCACGTCGTGATCGCGGTGGCTGGCTCCCCGCCGCCGGGGGAAGCAGCAGCCACAGCATCGTCTGGCTGACATTGGCTTTGCTCTCGGGGGGTCAAATCCGTAGAGGGCGATGCGACGGAAGAGGCAGCCGGTGCCGACGTAGACAGGGCCCTGTATGATGAAATTCTCTTATAAATAAGCTATATAATGAAAAATTACTAATGTAAATATACATTCAGAGTCTAATGAATCAATTTCATGTAAATCTGACAGAAAAAAAAACTTAGGTTTCTTGTGATCCTGCACAATAATATAGAGAAATATTCCTCTCATGTTATTCCGCATCATTCAGATTTTATTGTTATGTTATTGATGTTTTATTGTGTTATTATAACACAATAATACATGAATACTACCATAATAACACCTGAATAACACGAAATAACACGGAGAGAATATTCCCCTGTGCTCAAACAAATTTTTTTTAATTTTTCTGTTACCTCTATATGACGTGATTTCATTAGATTCCGAACATCCAGAATCCATATGTAATATTTAGAAATTAAACCAAAGTGAAATAGAAATAAATAATACTCTGAAGCTAAACAAGACCTAAAAAAACTAGCTCCATCATGTTGCAAAATGGCAAGCTTGCATACTTGGGACATTGTTTCATTTCACACGCTTAATCGGTTTGATTGATGAGGGAAGTAAAGCGGCCTTTTGACTTTGGGCTTGTATTGTTCCATTAATTTATGAACAATTAAATATTATATTTCCATTCTTTGTATTATAGTCTATCTTATATACACATTTAAATAATATAATTTGAGATATAATACAAAATTTATATTAAAATTACATGAATATTTCAATACCTAATTAAAAGAGTTTATTAGCTAATAATTGTTAATTTCATATTATAAATTATGAACATTATCGAAACAAATTCCTATATGCAGCTTGTGTGATATATATATATATATATATGCATATTTAATATCTTTATTTTTATATTTATATAAGCATATTTGCATTTTTATTTTAAAATATATCTATTAATACATTATAATAACTTTATTAGGCCATTACCTGCAGGCCGTCGAGCGCGCGCATGTTGACGTCGAAGAAGACCGTATTGTGGTTGGCGTAGCGGTCGGAGGGATCGATGCCTTCGAAGCGTTGGGGAAACTGGACGTAGCAGATGCGGTCGCCGCCGCGGTCCATCATGAAACACATGCCTTCCCGGAGAGCTTGTGAGTTATAGATGTAGTGATCGCAGTCTAGGTTCAGCATGAAGGGCCCGTTGGATAGGACGGCGGAGGCGCGCACAAGGGCGTTCATGGCGCCGGCTTTTTTGTTGTGGTCGTATCCCGGTCGCTTTTCGCGGGACATGTAGACGAGCATTGGGAGACGGATGTCTACCTCGCTCATGTCCAGGATGGCGGCGGGAGGGGGGCCCCCGCCATCTTCGTCGTGGTTACTGATGATGTCGTCGGCACTGGTGCCGAAGACGGGTTCTTCCGCCGGAGGTTTCAGCATGACCTGAATCACATTATCATGATATGGTGAGATATGGTCTTTAATTGACTAAGCTGAGGAAAAACGAAAGATTGAAAAAAAAATCGACTTTAAATTGCCACATTTAACACAGATTAACAAAGTCAACCCCTAACCTGAATAATGCCGGCGTGGTCGCCGCGGGAGTGATCGGCGGCAGGGTGAATCCACGTACCAGGCCAGTGAGTACCATCCGCCATCCACGTCGCCTTCGCTATCTTAATAGGCTCCAGCAGCGTCTCATCGTCGCCGGCAAACGCCGCCGCCGGGGCTTCCCTCCCCC